GGCCCGGACGAGGTGTCGCGGCGGCTGGCGGGCACCCGGCGCGAGCTGCGCAACCGCCGCAAGATCCTGCTGAGGAACCTGCCGCCCGACAGCAGCAGCCAGGTAGCGCCGCGCCCCGAGGGGTGTGGGGGACACCTGGACGCCCCTCACTGCCTCGCTCCCCCCCCTGACGAGGACGGGTTGTGGCCCCTGGCTGGGAGGACTTGGGGAGGGGGGGTCTGAACGTCCAGTTTGAAGTGTGTGGGGGGTTCCTTCGCCACCTTTTCTGTTCTTGTTGACCCCCCTCGAGCAGAGCTTCCCAAACTCTTCCTCGGTGTGACCCTATCTCGGTCCCCTTCCTCAGCATGGCCCCCTGGCCATGAGACCTCATCCGTCTGTCCGTTCACAATTTGGGAGCCACTGCCCTAGAGGCAGCAGCCACTGAGGGATCCAGTGACGTGGCCACAGGGACATAAAGGATCCACTGAGGCATAAAGGATCTACTGGTGCAGCCACTGAGTCATAAAGGATCCCCGATGGATAAATGATCCACTGATGCAGCCACTGAGGCATAAAGGATCCGTCCCAAAGTTATAGCTATACTAGAGAGCCCTTAGGGTCGTAGTCGCCCTGCATACTGGGGGAGGTTTTGAGAAATTGAGTCTTGTTAACAAGGTACTAATTAAGCCGTCCTCTGAAGGCGAAAAAAAGACAGGTTATTGGCAGTTCCTGCTGCCCCCTCTGCTTTTGCTTCCCAAAGCAAAACCTGGGCAGATGAGGTTCTTTGGGTCAATCCGATGATATCTTTTATTAGATCAACACAAATAGTTGGGAAAACTCTTCAAGCTTTCCGACACAGACACCCATCATGAGGCTGAGGAAGCATCTGCAGTTGGTCTGTGCTCTTCCTGAGTTTAACATAATCGGCGCGCCATCAAATGTTATGATTTAGAGCAGCGTTTCTCAACTCCCGGGTCACAAGAGTTATACGAAAGGGTCGTGAACAAACTGTAAAGATGGATTCTCTTTTAAAGGAGAAAAAGTGGGCTTTTCTTGTGCAGGGTAGCAGAGCTCGGGGGGCTGCTTGGAGCTCCCCCTCCATACCTCACACCCAACCCTTGCCCCACACACTGTGGGGCTGGGGCCAGGGGCGAGGGACAGTGCGTTGGGAGTGGGGGGTACTGGGCCATTGGTATTTACAAATGGGTCCTGGTACAAAAATGGTTGTGAACCACTAATTGAGATGATACTGTGAATCCTCACTGTGAGAAACCAGTGCACCTCTAAAAATAGACTTCAAAATGAACATAACAGACTTCAAAATGAACATAGTTTACAGCATCAGAGGAGGGCGTGTGGAGAATATACAGATTAAAATGTATTTTAGAAACAAAGCCTCTGTATTTTTAAACCAAGCTAATAGCCAGTATAAAGTGCCAGTTGATAGAGTGGCATTCCCTTAATCATCAGTGCAAAAGGTTTTGCCTAATGCAGATTTCTATTTAAGACTTTCTAAAACAGTTTTGAGTTCAGGGCTTCGCAGCGTTTTTGGGCAGAGTGCCAAAAACACTTGCATCCTCTGCTTGGAAGATGTTGGCGTGCCAGGGGCAGATGGCAGGGGAGCCGTGAGGAGGCTGTTACTTGTTTAGGCAGCATGGTCGAGGCCCCTTCCCCACTGTCCGCCCCAAGGCACACATGCCAAGCAAAATGCTTTCATGTGCCATGCTTTGGCATGCATGCCAGGGGTTGCCAACCCCTGTTCTAGTTCTTTTGGCTCTGGTTAAAAATGTTTTATATGTAAATAGAATAAAAGCAATGAAGAGTAATCGATCTCGATCTGCAGATGTCCTGGAGTATGAGCTCTGAAATGTGAATTACAATGTTTCATGGCAACAGCAGGTTAATCCATAAATCTAATGATCACTATAAGAGTCAGTTTTTTAAATGATTTAGTTGTAAAGCTGCTTGCCTAATCTGCTGGAACATTATGATTGTGTGTAAATATCAGGTATCTGGATATATAAAGAGACAGAAGGCACAGTTCCTTTTCCACTACAGTTAAAGGCAACTCTCCTACCTATAAGTAAGTTTACTAGGTGAGGACCAGCATTCTTTCCTCAAATTTTGTAGAAATCTTCCATTATTATTGAAGAAAATCTTATGTAGATCAAAGCCATTATATAGTTCTGGCTTTCTGAATTTGGCCTGTAGATCAGGATTAAAACTATTTGGTCCTGACAGAATTGAGTTGATGTTGTACCTAAAGATTTTGATCCCCTTTTACATAGCAGTTTTCTACCCTTGATAAGCATGTTAGAGCAGCAGCAAGTATACTTTGTATAAGGCTGGTGATCCTGGAAAACAATTGGAAGAAATATAATTTTAATCTTTTAATGCTACTAGCATTGACATGAAAAGGAAGAGTTGGGACTTTATGGAAAGAGGAGTACTTCCTGTCCCAGTATTGTTCTGGAGTAGGCATTGATGTTCGTGATAGGTCATGTAAATATTGTGTGTCAGTCTAGCTTGTCCTTCTACAAGTTACTTTGAGACTAATTGTTTGTAATCAAATTACTGCCTTTGGTAACCACTGTGCGTGGGTGTCATCTTTACTGTAGAAATGGCTGGTAGTCTTAGCAGAAGTCTACTGGAATCATAGCCCATTTAGTGTTGTACCAGGAAAAAGTGAACACCGTTGAAAATGCAGCAAAACATTAGGCCTCCAAAGCAATATTTCAGAACCTAACTGTTCAGCTTTATTAGTAATTTTATGCATAAGAATTGTCATTATCCATTCCTTGCACAAGTAGAATTGGACCAAAAAGTTATTCAAATATTTTTGATGAAAAACTCCTCTTTAGTCTGAAAACAAAATGTTAAAACAAAAGGCCACAACCTCCAATTTTTCAGTTTGGGGGCTTTTCATTTTTTGGCTAGAACTCAAACTCTTAAAGAAAAATCCAACCAAAATGCAAACATTGACATTTTTTATGATATAGAAATATTTCAGCTCCAGTTATGGCATGAATAACCATAACATAGAGCAGAAGTCTGCTAATCAAGTAGGTCCTTGTTACAGTTATAATGGCTGAAAACTCCAAAGCCTGGTGCCTAATTCGTTAAGTTTAATTTATCATTATTTTAAAAACAAATGCATTTATTCTGCCAACTTGGCTTACTACTGGAATAGCTTCTCTGTCTAGTACCCAGGCAGTATTAACCAGACTGATCTGTGTGGTAGGAAGGCCATCACTGTTTACAGGTTGGATTGATCAGATACTATAACAAGAGATGATTTTTTTGTGTTTGTTTTTTTGTTTTTATGTTCTTTGGGCTGTTGACAGATGAGCAAATTATACCTAGTCTCAAGCTAAAAGAGAGGGGAGCTTACTGCACATCACCTAATCCACAGTGCAAGCTTCTTATGTCTGCTCTATTTTATGGTACGACCTAAACCTAGGGAGTTACTCCTGAAGATAACAAGTACTAAATAACCCTGGCTTTACTTCTGCTTACCACCAAATAGAGAAGATGCATAAGCAGCTAACATGCAGTAAGTCACTCCTCTTCCATGTTAGCTCCCCTTTAACTCTTCAAGTTCTGCCTGATGGTGACAGTGCTCTCTGAGAACAACTTTCTCAGTTTGAGGCTAAAAAAAAATACGTGCTTTTCATGGAGAAAAATGCACCTTAGCCAGGGAGATTTTGCAACTTCATTCAAAATTGTGTGGATGTAAATATTACAAACTACATTTAAGTATGAATTTTTTGCATATATTTTTATTAACATCTAGCCACAGACTTGGAAGTGTCCAGATATTGTGGGGGCTATGTATAAAACATGACATGATTAAAATTCCCTGTAAATATGCACGGCAACAAGTTTCTGTAGAAAACCCAGAACTTGTGCCAAGGAGGAAGAAGACTAATGCAGTCTGCAGCACCTGGTGAGCAAAACTAGCAAGAGAAGGCTGGTTAGCTTAGAGCAGTAAGTGTCAGGGAACAGCGGCCCCAAGGTCACGGTGGGCCGAGGGTTTCAATACGAAACAGGTGGGATTGGCGGCGAGGAGTCTAAGCGGTACGGGACACGTGCGGTTTCAAATAAAGTTGGTTTATTTACTTACGCTTTTAGAGTGTATGCGGAAATCTTGCTTTTTCAGTTACAGTGTTAACGGGAACAAACAACAAAGGGGTCTGTTGGCCCACGGGGTTCTTGAGTGAGCCCTTGCTTTCTAGCCGGAGCTAGGGGCAGCTGCCCAACTCGATAGTCCCAGGGCTGGTCAACAGCTCATAAATTGGGATACGAATAACAGAACTGTAACACGCAGAATGTCGTGATGCCAGTCCAAATGGACGAAACGGGTGGTCGTTGAGATGCCGAAGTTGATGTGGAGGTCGAAGTTATGATGTCGTAGCCAGTGGTCGAGATGCGGGGTCGAGGTCGAAGCCGGAAATTAGTTCGTTAGTCAGAGATCAGTAC